GCCACTCTGCCATGGGCCCCTGTACCCCGCCTCCTCATGCTGCTGCCAGGCCCGTAATCTGCTATGGGCCCCCGTACCGACTCCTCATGCTGCTGCCAGGCCCGTAATCTGTCATGGGCCCCTGTACCGCCTCCTCATGCTGCTGCCAGGTCCAGTGTGTGTCATGGGTCCCTGTATGGCCTCCCATTGCTGCTGTCTCCATCGCCACACTCTGCCATGTGCCACTTTCAGGTCTCCTCACACTGCTGGTGGGTTCCATTTTGTCATAGGGTGCTGCTGTATGGCCTCCCATTGCTGCTGCCTCCACTGCCACACTGTGGCTCCACACTCTGGTTTTGGCCCCGTGACTGCCCAAATGAGTGAAGTGTGCGGTGATTCTAAGATCGACGGCACTCATCTGCATGTCATACTGACTGACAGTATTATTTTTCTTCCCCAGCAGACTCCAAGGGCATTTAAATTAAAGGTACAGTGTTCAGCACTAATATAAAGGCTCTCTGAAGCGAATCAGCCGAACCGAATTTTTGAATAATTCGCTCATCTCTACTTTTACTATGTGAAAAAAGTTACTTATGTGCGAGTATAAATGCAGGATGTCTTGACAATAATTCCAATAAATATTATACCAGGTATTTTCAAAATCAAGTATGTAATGAAAGCGGTAATTACTGCATATATTCATTGTCTCATATCTCTACCTATCAAGTATAACATCAATACATGGTCTCCCTTTTATGACTGCTCATGGTATATATAAACTTATTTCTTTTACTTTTTTTATGATTTAATAACGTGGGATACCCTTATTCTCTTTTTCAAATGTAACCTTGAATATTTTTGTTATAGGCACATGGTAATTAAAAGAATTTATGATGCTAGTGAAGAAAAAAAACTACAAACATTCTCAGATAACCTTTTGAGTGAAAGACCTTGACTAACATCACAAATTTATCATGTAACTGACATATGCTGTATATTTACCAAAATGGCTATTGAAGTTCTTCCTCTTTTATTCTGCTACAGACATGATGTACTATGCTGTTTATATTAGTATGAAGAATAACATCCAATGGACTGTCAACCCTTTGTTCAGGCCACTTATACAAGGGGTGAAGTAAATCTTGAAGCTATCAAAACACGTTCAGTAGATAATGTGGGCTCTTCAGAAAAGAGCAAACTAGTTAAATCCATCATGTTTTCACTAGTTTAAACGCACAGTAAGAAATTACATTTTAAAAATATATATTTCTTCTCCACAATTTGCTCTAGCTTATGTAACTGTATTGTATATCCCTTATGGACTACTAGAACAATTGTTACCTTTACATTATGGACCTGTTTATTAGGCAATAACTTTGTCATTATTACTACACCACAAAGTAATACATACATTTTTTTCACAAACTGTTTCTTTTGTTAATTTTGGATTTGCTTCTTTTTTTTGTTGTTTTTATTTTCTGTACAATCTATATAAAAAAACTTTTTTGACCACTGTTAGTTTTAAAATAAATAGTGTCATTATAGAATAGATGCCCACTTTTTTTCATAATTACACTTAAATCACATTTCTGGTACAACGCATGGCAATTTATTTACAAATGAAATAAAGATGCTTTATTTCAAATGTGCTAATTTTGTTAATGCAACACTGTCGAACAAACAAAACGTGAAAAAGTTTATATATTAATGGTAAAATGAAAAATGACCAGAGAAAAAAAATTAGGAGGGGGAGGGAAAGTAGTTAATGCTGGTTATGGATAACTAAGGGTTGAGATGGGGTTAAATAGCAACATTTTTTTTTACTTGAGTCACATCATAAGCATCAAACTGAGTAAATACAATGTAACAATGCATTGTTATATTATATTTCCCAATTAAACTTTCAGACACTATCTTCAAGTATAATTTTACACAGGAGTGTCTGTTTTTTCTGAAGAGTTTTTCTCCTACTACAATATTGGGATGCGTGGTTATAGTAAGCAGCACCTTCCACTTAGTTCTTTGTTAACCACTGTAATACACACGAGTCCTGGCTTAACTCCCCTGATAAATCCAAGATATTGCAGGAAATAATGAACTTTCTAAACTTATTATCTGAGTTTTTTCAGAATGCGTAGTTTCTTTAATTGTTGATAGTACCCTGTGTAAATATTATAGTTTTGGACATACCGTATTTTCCGGCGTATAAGACGACTTTTTACCCCTTGAAAATCTTCTCAAAAGTCGGGGGTCGTCTTATACGCCGGTATACGGCATGCTGACACTTTTTAGGGGGGCAGTGCTGCCGCTGCCCCCCCTTCCAACGGAAGGGACACTGAATACAGGGGTGGGCAGGGGCTGCGGTTTCTTACCTGGCTCCAGTCCCACGACGATCCGGTCCAGGAAGCGCAGCTGCCCCTTCATTCAGTTTGCGCGGTTGCTCGGCTCCGCCTCCTCACCGGTGATTGGCCGTCAGAACTGTAGCTCAGGAAAGGCACACAGGCGGCCAATCACCGCGAGGAGGCGGAGCCGAGCAGCCCCGCGAAAATCGAGTGAAGGAGCGGCCAGTAAGTGTGCCGTACAGAGGTGCTGCTGCAAGCACATATGCTGGCTGCAGCAGCACCATACTGCAACAAGGGTCAGCAAGTGTCATTGGTGTCAGTGGGAGGAATAGTTCCCCATCATTGGTGTCACTGATACCAATGATGGGGCATTATTCCTCCCACTGACACCAATGATAGGGGCACTATTCCACCCCCCACTGACACCAATGATGGGATACTATTCCTCCCACTGACACCAATGATAGGGCACTATTCCTCCCACTGACACCAATGTTGGGGCACTATTCCTCCCACTGACACCAATGTTGGGGCACTATTCCTCCCACTGACACCAATGTTGGGGCACTATTCCTCCAACTGACACCAATGTTGGGGCACTATTCCCCCCACTGATACTAATGATGGGGCACTATTCCTGCCACTGACACCAATGATGGGGTGCTATTCCTCCCACTGACACCAATGATGGGGCGTGATTCCTCCCACTGACACCAATGATGGGGCACGATTCCTCCCACTGACACCAATGATGGGGCACGATTCCTCCCCACTGACACCAAAATGGGGCACTATTCCCCCACTGACTATTCCCCCCACTGATACTAATGATGGGGCACTATTCCTGCCACTGATACTAATGATGGGGCACTATTCCTGCCACTGATACCAATGATGGGACACGATTCCTGCCACTGACACCAATGATGGGGCGCTATTCCTCCCACTGACACCAATGATGGGGCGCTATTCCTCCCACTGACACCAATGATGGGGCGCTATTCCTCCCACTGACACCAATGATGGGGCGCTATTCCTCCCACTGACACCAATGATGGGGCGCTAGCGCTATTCCTCCCACTGACACCAATGATGGGGCGCTATTCCTCCCACTGACACCAATGATGGGGCGCTATTCCTCCCACTGACACCAATGATGGGGCTCTATTCCACTGACACCAATGACACCAATGATGGGGCGCTATTCCTCCCACTGACACCAATGATGGGGCACGATTCCTCTTAGTGACACCAATGATGGGGCGCTATTCCTCCCACTGACTCCAATGATGGGGCACGATTTGTCGCTCTGACACCAATGATGGGGCACTATTCCTGCCACTAATACCAATGATGGGGCACTATTCCTCCTATTGATACCAATGATGGGGCACTATTCTTCCTATTGATACCAATGATGGGGCACTATTCCTCCCACTGACACCAATGATGGGGCACTATTCCTCCCACTAATACCAATGATGGGGCACTATTCCTCCCACTGACACCAATGATGGGGCACTATTCCTCCCACTGACACCAATGATGGGGCACTAATCCTCCCACTGACACCAATGATGGGACACTATTCCTCCCACTAATACCAATGATGGGGCACTATTCCTCCCACTGACACCAATGATGGGGCACTATTCCTCCCACTGACACCAATGATGGGGCACGATTCTTCCCACTGACACCAATGATGGGGCACGATTCTTCCCACTGACACCAATGATGGGGCACTATTCATCCCACTGACACCAATGATGGGGCACTATTCCTCCCACACCGACACCAATGATGGGGCACTATTCCTCCCACTGACATCAATGATGGGGCACTATTCCTCCCACCGACACCAATGATGGAGCACTATTCCTCCCACTGACACCAATGATGGGGCACTATTTCTCCCACTGACATCAGTGATGGGGCACTATTCCTCCCACCGACACCAATGATGGGACACTATTCCTCCCACTGACACCAATGATAGGGCATATATTCCTCCCACTGACACCAATGATGGGGCACGATTCTTCCCACTGCTGTGCATTGGAAGAGGGGTAGTCTTATACAGAGTATAACCCAAACACTACATTTTAACAGGAAAAGTAGGGGGTCGTCTTATACGCCCAGTCGTCTTATATGCCGGAAAATACGGTAGTTATGTAGCTGTGTATGGCTTCATTTTGGCTTTGACCCCTCAAGCACACTGGACGTTTTGATAACGCTAGTAACGTTAGCTGTGTAAAGTCACTTTAAAAACTTGAGTTTTTCAGATTTTGTTAGTGTTTTTGCATTAGCGTTTAGCTGTGTTTTCCGCTTTTTTTTTTTTTTTTTGGGGGGTACAAAAATGTCCAAAAACATCGGTTTGCTGCATTTTACCACATTTTACCGTGTTTTTCAATGTTAGAGCATTTTTACAGCTAAAAAAACTCCTCTAGAAACCCACTAGTCCTGGGTTTTTTTTTCAGCCAAAAAACATTGATTACAGACTATGTGTGCATGAACACTTAGGACAACATGCTGGGGGGTTTACTAGCTGTAGAAAAAAATGTCAACAGGCAAAAACAGCAGCTGTAAAAATGTCCAGTGTGCATGAGCATGCAAGTGTGCACCTCCTTCCCCTTCCCCCAAGGATTACATGCACAATAGCACTGACATTTAAAGGGAAGCTTAACCTCCCTGGAGGTATTCCCGAGTGTAGCTGGGGGTAAAGTTTCAGCACTACAAGCGGTAACCCTGAGCTACACCCGGGAATACCCTGGAGCGTTGCTCCGGGATCTCTTCTTCACTTACCTTGTCCTTCGCTCCCACGATGTCCCTCCTGCAGTGTCCCCTGTAATGTCCTCCGGCCGATGCCGGCATCTGTCATCTGGGTTCCATTCCCTGCAACATCAGAACGTACGGGGACAGAACGGCGGGAAATTAAAAAAAGTGAAAGTGACATTCACTAAATACACTAAAATCACATAGTAAAACATTACTGTATCAAAGCATTTCACATACATTTTGTCCCTAGTGATTTGTCTTGTGCCCTGCCTGCATTTTTACTGTTCTTTCTGCCTGGAAACTGAGAAATGTCCATGGCGTCCAAAAAGCGTCCCTTTAGGTCAAAAGCGGTTTTAGACCAGCTAGAGAACAGCGATAGTAAATTAGAACTACTTGCAGAATTGAGTGATAATGATTTGTGGGGAAATTCAAACACTGAAAACGATTTTGTGATTTTGCTCAGTGATGTGTGAACTTGGCGCTATATTTCAAATTTCAGTGTTTTTGGTTTTATTATATTATTGAATTAAATTTATTATTATATTATTCTTTTTTATGATTATTTATTAAATTATAATTTATGATTTCGTGTTTCAAATTTTAACATACCCTGGATGTTTACAGATTTCAGTGAGTTATTCCTAAAAATTACAGGCCTACAATAAAAAAAAAAACTATATATTTCCATGCAAAAAAAATTTACCGCTTTGAGCACAGAAATACTGACATAATCAGACCGCTAGGGAGGCTACCCTAAATATTTGCATTCCTGGCACACTTCGGCTGTGCTGAAATGACTTCCTCCCATGCGCAGGATGATGCCATTCTCTGCTGGCTAATCAAGAGGTGGAAAACTTGGTATCTGTGGAGAAGAGGATAACGGTTGGCATGGGATGTAACTGCTGCATCACTGAAAGGTTGAGATAAATATCTTTGGGGGTTTAGTTGCACTTTAAATGTAGATTAGCACCATTCAAAGCAGTGATGCTCAGTGGAAAGCACATTCAGAATAGTCCATGCAGCAGGTAGTCTGTGTTCTAACTTCCGGCCCCATCACCTCACCTCCCTGCTGCTGGCAGGGAGAACTGGGCCTGGAGTCACAGCTAGCATCCACCCCCCCCTCACAAGAAATGTGGCAACCCTCCTCCCCCAGCCATCACTGTGTCTGCACCCCCTCTTACCAGTGAATCTTGAAGACACAACCCCCCCTCATGTACAAATCCAGAGGATTTACTCCCCTTCTTGAACAGGCCATTTTTTGCGATACGGCGCTGTGTTGCTTTAACTGACAATTGCACAGTCATGCAACGCTGCACCCAAATTAAATTTATGTCCTTTTTTTTCGCACAAATGGAGCTTTCTTTTGGTGGTATTTGATCTCCTCTGTTTTTTTTCTCTATAAACAAAAAACAATTTTGACAATTTTGAGAAAAAAAAAACTATATTTTGAACTTTTTGCTATTAGATTTGTCCAGTAAAAAAATGTTAAAAATAAAATTTTGTCATAAATTGTAGGCCAAAATGTATTCTGCAACATGTCTTTGCTAAAAAAAGCCAGTACGTGTAAATTAATACAGTCATGGCCGAAATTGTTGGCACCCTTGATATTTTTTCCTGAAAATCAAGTATTTCACACAAAAAAGGTATTGCATTAACACATGTTTTGCTATACACATGTTTATTTCCCTTTGTATGTATTGGAACAAATATAAAACAGAGGCAGAAAAGCAAATATGACATAATGTCACACAAAACCCCAAAAATGGGCTGGACAAAAGTATTGGCACCCTTAACTTAATATTTGGTTGCACACCCTTTGGAAAACATAACTGAAATCAGTCGCTTCCTATAACCATCAATAAGCTTCTGACACCTCTCACCCGGAATTTTGGACCACTCTTCCTTTGCAAACAGCTCCAGGTCTCTCTTATTGGAAGGACACCTTTTCCCAACAGCAATTTTAAGATCTCTCCACAGGTGTTCAATGGGATTTAGATCTGGGCTCATTGCTGGCCACTTCAGAACTCTCCAGCGCTTCTTTGCCATCCATTTCTGAGTGCTTTTTGACGTATGTTTGGGGTCATTGTCCTGCTGGAAGACCCAGGATCTTGGACGCAAACCCAGCTTTCTGACACTGGGCCCTACAGTGCGACCCAAAATCCTTTGGTAATCCTCAGATTTCATGATGCCTTGCACACAGTCAAGGCACCCAGTGCCAGAGGCAGCAAAACAACCCCAAAACATCATTGAACCTCCACCATATTTTACCGTAGGTACTGTGTTTTGTTCTTTGTAGGCCTCATTCCGTTTTCGGTAAACAGTAGAATGATGTGCTTTACCGAAAAGCTCTATCTTGGTCTCATCTGTCCACAAGACGTTTTCCCAGAAGGCTTTTGGCTTACTCAAGTACATTTTGGCAAACTGTAGTCTTGCTTTTTTATGTCTCTGTGTCAGCAGTGGGGTCCTCCTGGGTCTCCTGCCATAGCGTTTCATTTCATTTAAATGTCGACGGATAGTTCGCGCTGACACTGATGCTCCCTGAGCCTGCAGGACAGCTTGAATGTCTTTGGAACATGTTTGGGGCTGCTTATCCACCATCCGGACTATTCTGCGTTGCAATCTTTCATCAATTTTCCTCATCCGTCCACGACCAGGGAGATTAGCTACAGTGCCATGGGTTGCAAACTTCTTGATAATGTTGCGCACTGTGGACAAAGGCAAATCTAGTTCTCTGGAGATGGACTTGTAACCTTGAGATTGTTGATATTTTGCCACAATTTTGGTTCTCAGGTCCTCAGACAGTTCTCGTCTCCTCTTTCTGTTGTCCATGCTTAGTGTGGCACAGACAGACACACAATGCAAAGGTTAAGTGAACGTCTCTCCTTTTTATCTGCTTTCAGGTGTGATTTCTATATTGCCCACACCTGTTACTTGCCCCAGGTGAGTTTACAGGAGCATCACATGCTTGTAACATTCTTATTTATCTGCAGTTGTGAAAGGGTGCCAATACTTTTGTCCAGCCCATTTTTGGAGGTTTGTGTGACATTATGTCGAATTTGCTTTCTTTCCTCCCTTTTTTTGTTTTGTCCCAATACACACAAAGGGAATAAACATGTGTATAGCAAAACATGTGTTAATGCAATACGTTTCGTGAGAAATACATGATTTCCTGGAGAAATATCAAGGGTGCCAACAATTTCGGCCATGACTGTAGGTATGTGAAAGTTATAGTGTGTACAAATGATGTTATATATACTGGAATTTATTTACTTTTTATACTAGTAATGGTGGCAATCAGCGACTTATAGCGGGACTGCAGCAGGCATTCTGACACTGGGGGGGAACTGACTAACTGTCACTGACAACCCCAGTGACAGTAATACAGTGATCAGTGCTAACAAAAAGAACTGACACTGTACTAAGGGCACTGGGTAGGAAGGGGTTAACATCTGGGGCAATCAAAGGCTTAACTGTGTGTTGTTTGACTGTGTGATATGTGTGTGTTTCACTGTGTAAGCACATTGCTTTGCATTGCACCCCTACCCGATAGTGTATGTACCCCTACCCGACAGTGCAAAATTATATATATATATATATATATATATATATATATATATATATATATATATATATACGTGATTTTGCGCAGCCCTGCTGCCCTCTAGCTGTATTTCTGCTATAGGGTGGCGGAAAAGCAGTTAAATATAATCAATATTTCAATAGTAAATTTTAAAGTTGAACTTTTGCTTTGCCTATACAAGGTTTTCTTTAATGCTGGCCTATGTAGTAGCCTTTGCTTAACTTCTCTTTGCTTCTTCAGCACTCTGTTTACTTGCTGGAGCAAAAAGAAAAGTCAATCTAAGTTGCTACTGAGAACCCTCTCCCTGTCCATGAGAGCAGAGAAGGTTAGTGTAATCTTCTGCAGGTAGCAGCATTACAGTTAGCCTTTTGTTTTGCACCACATTTCACATTAAAGAACAAGTTCACATTTATAATATTACCCAAAATTAAAATAAACTGAGACTAGTTAATGCTGTGCTATCAGTGTAAAAAATAAAATAGTATTTTATTTTTCTATAAAAAAATGTATATAGTGCCAACAGTTTGCACAGCGCTTTACAAAATAAGGGAGACCACCTGTACATTACAATTGGACCCTTCTTGTGAGAGCTTACAGTCTAAAAGAGAAAGGCAAACACTTGTAAAGTTAATAACTGTTAGGGATAGTGGCTAAATGGTTAGCACTTCTGCCTCGCAGTACTAGGGTCATTGGTTCGAATTCCAACCATGGCACCACCTGCCTGGAGTTTGCATGTTCTCCCTGTGCCTGCGTGGCTTTCCTCCGGGTACTCCGGTTTCCTCCCACACTCCAAAGACATGCTGGGAGGTGAGTTGGCTCCTGTGTAAATCAGCCCTAGTATGTGCATGTATGAATGTAAGTTAGGGACCTTAGATTGTACGCCCCTTGAGGGTTAGGGACTGATGTGAATGTACAGTATATATGTAAAGCACTGCGTAAATTGACTGCGCTATAAAAGAATCTGAAATAAAATAATAATGGAGAAAGTTTAGTTTTTAGGTGGAGGTGGGATAGGCTCCCCTAAAGTTATGAGCTTTCAGGGATTGCCTAAAGGTAGACAGAGTGGGAGATAGCTGGTTAGACTGGGGTAGGGAATTCCAGTGGATGGAGGAGGCTCTGGAGAAATCCTGGATGCAAACATGGGAGGAGATGACAAGGTGCTAGAGAGCAGGAGATCTTCATTGGTGTTGGTGTTGTAGCTAGGAGCAGAGTTATGTATGGCTTGGTATGTTGAAGTTAGTATTCTGAGTTTTATTTGTTTGGTGAGCGGAAACCAGTGAAGCAATTGGCAGCAACACTGAACATTTGGTAAGGTGGTTAAGCCCAAGAGCAGCATTCATGATGGACTGAAGAGGGAATGGCTTGTGTGAAAATAGGCCAACAAGCTTTGTGGCATCATTGATTTAATAGCAACATGCAACATGGAGCTGGCACACAGCAGGGATAGCAGAGTTCTGGTGGGCAAAGGGTTAAAATCCGTAACACAGGGCCGAACACACTGCAGGGATGGTAGGACTCCAGCAGACAAAGGTACCACAGGCTGGTCACACAGCAGAGGTGAAAGAACTGTGGCAGACAAAAGGTTAAAGCAGAGTTTCACCCGAAAGGGGAAGTTCCGCTTTAAAGATTGGTCCCCCGCTCCCCATCAAGGACTGGTAC